GAATCCCAGTTAGGGCGGTTGGTACCTTCCAGTGGACTCACCACCTGCAGGAAGGTTCAGGAGGGGCTGGTCCTGGAGACTGCTGCCCCCGCAGCCTGGTAATGGACAAAGACAGATGGACTAATGGATATTGGACTGTTTTGAAAATAATTTATTCTATCATTAGAATAAATATTTTTCATTAGCCTTTGGACTTTCTCATATTAAAGGGCAAATAAAGTTATTTTAGCATAAACAATACACGGACAAACCCAAGAGGAGTGAACATCTGGAAAAATACAGATGTTCTATTTTCATCAAAATACATAAAGAAACACATTCACAGTTGTACATTTTAGAAAAATGGTTCATGGTTTCTTTGCACTGGTATTGATATTTTGAGGAAAAATGAAAAGAGGCAGTTAACTGGCTGGAGTATTTTCCATGATTAAATCTTCAAACTCTGTGATTAAATATTAATGCTACATATGCTACAATGCTACATGCTGAAGTTATAGTGACACCAGGGTCAAACTTTGTCTTTGAGAAGTCCCTGTCTCTGGTTCCTCTGGTCCCCACTCGTGTCCAGGAGTGAATAGTCCAAAGACCAGACATGGACCAGAGGTGGTCAACGACACCACCAGTCAGGACCTTCACCTGGTCGTCTGCTGCTGAAGTCTGCAAAAAAAAAATCAGCTGCTCCTTCTGTAACTGGCCGTAACATCAGACCACGCACTCCATCCACCTGTGTGTGTGTGTGTGTGTGTGTGTTCACTGTGTCAGCGAGATTAAACTGAACATTGTACAATAATGTTTTTCAGACACTGTTTACATGCAGTTTCATTTTAACAGAGTGTCTACTCACTGCCCCCTGTGGTGGAGGCATTATTTGTCCCCCAGGCCACATTGGCAGATAATTCTTTTTTTTTGTTTTTTGTTTTTACAGTAAATTCCTGTGAGGTGATGATGTTGCACAACATGCAGAGATATGTTTTGAATAGAAGTGAGAAGTGAATTTTATGAGCTCAAAACAAACACTTTTTTTATATACACAGTACTGTATGTTCCTGCTGCCACTGAAGGTTTAAATCAGACTCCATGTACGGCAGGTCAACAGTGCCCCACAGACACAGGTTTCCTCTCGCTGAGTATCATGTAAACTGGCTGAACCTGAGTGAGTGAACGCTCTTTTATATCAGTGAGTGATGAACTCATAGACTGAAGTCAATATATACTGTATATATATATATGTGTGGGTATATATATATATACACAGAAGCACATATATATGTGTGTGTATATATGTGTGTGTATATTTAGATATATAAATATGTCTGTATATGTATGTATATATGTGTATATATATTTATATATATATATACACTGTATGTTATGTGTATATATATATGTATATATATATAGGGAGATTAAATGGTATATAAAATATATACACATACATATACATATATGTTTTATTACAAGCTACCTTATAATAGCTTATAATATGGTAAAAATATGGTAGAAATATGGTAAAGGTAGTTTCCACAGCGCCTCTTCTGGTAGACATTATAGTACTGTTGTCAAGTCAGATGTCATTAATAGTTTCACAGCTTTTTCCTGAAAAACGGAACTTTATACCAAAAGAACATTGAACAAAGAAATGTCAGTGGAAACCCAGTGCTAATATCACACACTGTGTATTTGACCCCTGGTGGGGTGCGCCCCTGCCTTTGGGAACCGCTGGTCCAAGGGACATTTTATGTATTTATAAACTTCCTTATGCAGCTAAAGAATTTAATAATCTTCTATAATCAAACAAATGGTGGGTGTTTGTTTTTGTTAAATATACGTATATTATTACAAATTACAAAATTACAAAAAAAATCGTGTTTTTGCAACGTTCGCAAAATTTCCTTCAAAGTTTATAAATCACGTGATTTCTGTTTTTATATATAATAATTATTAAATTATTTTCTCTAAACATGTTAGCTTATGTAGCCGTGTTATCTTTTAGTCTAAAAACTTTCAGAGAAGTTTGAGATTCGACTTCACAACTTCATTATGTTAAATATGACTTAAATATAAAATATATTTCGTCTGCAGATGTTTTTATTTTTACCATATTGCGCTCCGAAATGTCCGGTATTATTTACATGTATCGGATTATTTATCACTTTATTTCATTTTATTTTTTGTGTTGATGACGTAGTGAGGGTGTGGGTTCTGTTGGAGACTTTAATTTTAGTTTGACTTTAAAAGTTTTCATTTTTTCACCACTGCGTCCATATATTGACATATATCTGCTGTAGGATTTTACACTTAAACGCGCGCGCGCGCTCGATGCGTCACATTGGTTATTTTTTGGTAACTGCGGACAAAACGTAATTCAAATTTTTTCAACGTGTGTTTTCAGTGTTTTCAACCCTGGTCTCTTCATTTTACTCCATACTTCTTTGACCTTTTGGGGTCAAACAATGTCAGTTTCATCCTTCGTGGTTTGATAAGATTATATGAATCCCGGCTGCGGTGACTACAGCTAAACAACATCACTCCTGTATGATAAATATATACATTCAGAGCGTGTGTATCTGTGATTGAAATCGACTCATAAACGCGTACAGATTAATGATAAACGAGTTGAGAAGAACTTTCTGGAAACTTTTCTTGTACAATTCTTATGATCAAATAAAATATATATTTTTAATATCAGATTTTTATCTGATTTTGTCTGATTTTATCTTTCACAAAACGCGTTGAATATTAAACATTTTTGTGAGAAAACTGCAAGGACTGTAAACTAAGTCGGTTATATAAAAACACACCGACTTTCACTGAAATTATCATACACTTATACATATATGTATACATATATACGTATAAATGTATGTATATAGATTTGAATTATGTGTATATATGTATGTTTATGTTTACATATATTTATGTGTATATATATATATGCATGTATATGTGCACATATATGTATATGTGTATATCTATATATTTATGTATATATACATACTCAGACAAACACTAACAGAACCTAGATGTGGGTCACGTCCAACAATGACACACCACAGCTTGGGTCCATCCGTTCAGTGGACATTTATTTCGGTACGATCCAAACACATTTAAAATCCGACGTCCTTCAATGTCAAAAATGTAGAGCCTTTGTAAATAAATTTTATATTTGGACTATATTTGTATGGAATGTGACGACGCTGTGGCCGAGTACTGGGCCACTTCTGGCGAACAGGATCAGACCACTATTCTACACCGTACGTGGCCGACATTAGAGACCCCAGTGTCTGGGCCACAGTAAAGACAGTTTCGGTCAAAGTTGGTCGATTTGGCACGAGTTAAAACAGCTGGAGAGACGTGAACGATTATTCGGTTAACTTTTTCTTTATATTTTAAGAAACAATGATACATTGTTCAAATGAACCAGCGCGTAATGATCTCTCTTTATTGACCGGAAGCAGTGATTTTCAAAATGAGCGCACGCTCCTAATTGCGCGCGTAATTACGCACGAGATGGTTGGAAATCAAATGCGCTTAAGGTAAAAAAAAAAGTTAAAAAAAGACCAGAGCTGGGGTGGAGACCTGGAAGAACACATTATCTGGGATAAAGCCAGCCAGTTCTGGTTCTACACTGTCTCCCACCACCACAAACACCGCCGCCTCCTCCTCCTCCAAATCCACGTACAACGCTGGGTTTCGCTTCCGCTTCGCACGGTTCGGTCATTGATGAGTAGAGTGGGCTTCGAGGAGGAGGGCGCGTGCGTGAGAGACGTGGTTTTGACAAGGCAAAGAGAAGGAGAGGGAGTGAGAGAAAAGAGAGGGGAGGGGATAAAGAAGGAGGTGACAGACCTGCTCCTCCGGGAGTCTCCTGCAGCTTTACTGCTCCGTACTATCGACTGGAACTGCCCACAAAAACCCTGCTCGGTGGTGAAATAAGGCACCGAGCCTCCGTGGAGCTGTCACCGAGCTTCTTCAGGCTCTCCGCTCCGTTCTGTGCTCGGTTTGTTCTGCCTGTTCTGGACTAACAGTGAGAGGAGTCAAAGAGGAGGTGGAGGGGGAGCAGCGGAGCAGGATTCTTGGAGCTCTCTCTCTCTCTCTCTCTCTCTCTAACCGCTGCAGCTTCATCGGCCCGAACCTCCAGGATTATCTGATTTTGAGGGTCTGAGAATTAATCAGTGAAGGCGGTTCACACTGTGGTTCTGGTCGTGTCCGTGTCCAGGTTCAGGTTGTTGAGGTAAGGAGATCCCGCTCTGACCCGGACGGTCATTGTTGGAAGTAACGGTTTAGATCGCGGTGGAGGTTGGAAGACGCGCCGCTCTGGGCAGAAAACGGCACCGTCTGTAGTAGTAGTGCCGTAACAGTTAGTACAGATGTAGTGTTACACAGATCCGAGTATTTGTTTTTCAGTTATGGATATTTATCACTAAGTTGTAATCTGATAAACACAAAGGCCGGTGTTTTTGTCCTGCGTGAGAACACGAGCAACAGAGTACTTTTAACAAAAGAGGTATTTTCCTGTAGGAACCATAGGACATATACATACATACATACATACATACATACATACATACATACATACATACATACATACATACATACATACATACATGTATATATTTATATATTATATATTTATATATAAAAATATATACACATATATGTATATACGTATAGATACATATGCATATATGTATAAATACATTTATATAATATATATTTATATATCATATATTTATATATATACACATAAATATATGTGTATATATGTATAGATACATATACATTTATATGTATGTATGTATGTATTACTGATATTTTAAAGTTATTGTAGGCGTGTTTTGAGTCTGTTAAACTGTTACTGAAGATGAAATGTGGGCCAGAAAACAGGGTGACGACGTTCCAATTACAAACAATAATTTAAACAATGTGACATCCACAACAATAAATACAAATACAGTGAACTTTATCTATCATCCGATTCGATGCCAAATCCAAGATAATAAAAAAAACGTCACAAAAACGATTATAATACTGTGGTCTAACAGTATTTCCTTCACTGTTTATATTTGAACGTTGACCGGTGAAAGTTTCAGGCCGTTTGAAACATCAGTCCATGAAAAGTGGAGTCAGTTGTTGTTGACTTTCTGAGATTATTTTCAGTGTCTTTGTGAGACGATATATTTGGGATGAAACACATGAAGAATAGAATAGAATAGAATAGAATGTTGACCAACGAGTCTTTGTAATAAATAAATTATCAAGACTTCATGGCTGCAATGATGCACAGATTTGATTGGTTAACAACACACGTTATTTAGTACACGAAAATAGAATCGATTGGAATAGACGGGAAGAAAAGGGAATTTTATTGTCAAGGAACATTAGGAGAACATCTCCTGCACTGTATATTATATTATATTATATTATTATACGAAATTCACATTAGAGACATGTATAATGAAACATATGAGTGGAATTTAAATGGACATATATGTGGATGTAAATTAATGTAAATTAAAAACTCACTCTGACATGTTTGTTGATTTTTTAACCCAGTCTGTTTTTAACCCAGATTATTATTTAAATGTAGGAAAATTATTACAGTGACAGAATCATCTACATCGGTGATGTGTTTAAATATATAGTTAAAATAATTATTAATTCAAAACACACACAGACACACACACACACACTGACTCACAGTCTCTATCTGGCTCCTCCAGTCAGGGACGGTAGTTTCTGGAGACCCTGGTCATGGCGGACCAAGAGGAAACGTTTAGCCTCGAAAACTCTCCCGCTGCCGGCTCTGAGTCCAGAGAAGTGCAGGCTGAGAGTAAAGCCGAGAAACCGAGCGGAACCACGAGCAAATCCCCGTCTTCACAGACGACGTTCATCCAGCAGGTCAGTGTGACTGGATACACACACACACACACACACACACACCGACAACACACACTTGTCTCTGACTTACAGAGGACAGAAAACAACACGTCAGTGTGTTTTTTCACTTTCTACGATTTGTTTCAATTCGAATTCAATTAAAAACTCAGTCTTTGTTTCCGGTGTAGCTTTAAAAACAGTCAAAGAAAAAGTTAAGTCTGGATATAACACGGAGCAGCCCCCACCTCCAAAATGAACTGATGTTGTTTGACACAAAAGTATTTTCAAAATACAAAAATATATATAATCATAAATGAGTAAAGTGTAAACGTAAAAACAGTACAGTTACATACACACATGTATATAGTATATACTGTATATACAAACACATATATGTATATATATATATATAGCTATATTGAATGTGTACAGTCAAAGGATAAATAAATGTATGAAACACACGCGCACGCGCGCAAACACACCGGTAAATGTATTAAAATGTGTGTTACAAAATTGTGACTAAGTGTTTAGAATACAATGTGACATAAAATACAATCAAAATATACAATAAAGTATTGTTTATATATGTAAATTGATAACGTTTTTCTCATGTTTTACGACATTGATTTTTGTTTTACGTCGTGTCGTTCGTCTTCGAGACCATTCTCTGCCGTTTTACTTCACCTTGAACACAGAGCTAAACTCGTCAGTCTGTTAAAGACATAGGAATGTTTTCGTTTTGTTTTTGTTTTTTTTATCCAGCTTCTTTAAAAGCTCTGCCTGAACTCCACTGTGGTGTTTTATTTTGAAGGGAATGGAAGGAATTAAGGTTTACCTGCACGAGAGAGAACTGTGGGTGAAGTTCTATGAAGTGGGCACGGAAATGATCATCACGAAGGCGGGAAGGTTGTATAACGACCGTTATTATTATTATTGTTGTTGTTGTTGTTGTTGTTGTTACAGTGTTACGACACTGTTTTTCTATTTAGAATATCACAGACTGGTGAAACTACTTTTTTTGTCTTGTTTAATGTCTTTTTGGTGCAATATAACCGAGGATTTAATCATTAAAATCAATGAGTAGCTACAGAGTGTGGTAATAATTTATTATTTTTTATTAGTCTGGGGGATCTGGGGTATTAACTTAAAAAAAAAGTTTTACGATGTTTTTAACATCTTTTGTCTTATTTACCAAGTCAAAAGTCTCTCAATGGAAGAATCAGTACAAACTAAAAATACTTAATTATAAATTATTTCAGTTGACAGACAGACATCTACTGATACACGTTTTATTCGTTTTCCAATGTTTTTCTTTTTCATTCACATTTTCCTCGTTTCTTTTTTTCTGGTAGTAAAATCTTTAAATAATGACATTTAGAAATTACTTGAGATTAAAGACCATAACAAAGCGGATAGAAGTCATTGGACTGGAGTTAATAACTTAGTTCTTTCCGTTTGTTTGTTTTTGGCTAGTACTGTTGTCTTGAAAGCTGAGGGTTGTGGGTTTGATTCCGGACATGCCGCTGTCCTGACAGCCTCGTGGTCACTACTGTAGAGGTACAGGACACAACTTGTGGTGTGAGGCCCTTTATGTGTCCATCAGACTTTATAAGCTCGGTCCACTCACCATGAGTTAGTTTAGTTAGTAAGTTAGTTTTTATTTTTCACTTTTGACTTTGTAGTTACCACAGCTTTTGAATATAAAAAAAACTCTCTAAAATATTTTGGAGTTTTCTGGGCCGTGTGCCTGTTATCCACTCATTTCAAAGACAGACATCAAAACCACCCGCAATGACAATTTCAGGGCAACTTTCAGTTTCTGAGGGCACGTCACCACAGACTATTCATTTCTGATCCTGGGTTCTGTTATGTTTTATGTTTTATGTTTGGGTTTTTTTTGTTTTTTTACATAAATTTGAAAACACAGAGACTGTGGGGAGCAGCAGAGAAAACACACACCATCTGGTGGATGCCTTAGTGAACATTTTTGTGTGGGTGGCCCCATATTAGAAATGCTATACTCCATGAGCAAAGACAGACCCCCGAGGGAGGGGGTGCGGAGGGGGGGGGTGAAATACATTATTAATCATTTTAAAATGTCACCTTTAACAGTGTACTGTTAAATAATGCCAACTATAATCAAGTACTTGTCTTGTACTAAGACTCTCACCAATACATGCAGTATTTTTGATTGTGCACATACTGTATATGAATTACTGAATATTTATTAGTCACAAATTGATAAATATTCCGTTTGTCCTCAGGTATAAATTCTTCACAGACACAGACAGAACTATTTTAAAATATGCAACAAGTCTTGGGTGGTGTCTGTCTTTGGACATCTGCCCTGCAAATATTCTGTCCCAGAAATATAATGAGAGCAGGAGAGATCTCTGCCAAACAAAACTTTGAACTTTGTTCAAATTTAATCCAAATTCGTCTTCTCTAGTGAAAATGTGTCGAAATCAAAGTCATTTTCACAGCAGTTTTTTTTTTTTTTTTTTTTTTTTGCAGCCACTGCATCTGTAGCTTGTGGCGCATGTTAAGAGCTGACTGTAGGTCATGAGCTTTATTTTGTGTATAATAAAACAACGATAAACTAAATTCGATTTAATTAAAAACAACACCTGAAGAAACGGATTACTCCGATAAATATGTGTAGCTGTTGACTCCTTATTAAAGTGTGTTTAGACACGTGTTTTATGTGATTTGTTGGAGTAGTCAAAGCGCATAAATGTAATAAATATTTCACTCATTTATAGATATTTTTGTGTTTTTTTTAAAGAGAAGTTGTACTGTGTTTTAACATTTCTATTAAAATGCGAATGTGCTCGAAAGTCTTTCAATCTCGAATCAATACGAGCAAAAACTTCTAAAGGCAATTTTTTACTATTTACTTTTTATTAACTCACATGTTTGGTTGTTGAGCTGATGTCTCCTTATTAGTCTCTTTATTCAATTCCTTCTTTCTTTTCTCTCATTCCTTCATCATTGTTGTCTTCTTTTATTCCGTTCTATTTGTCACCGTACGTCCCTGAAATGACTTTCGTTTCTTTGTGGTAATACTGTACGATAAATATATCGTGAGGATAAAGTCTAGAAACTTCCAGAAATAAAATGCCTGAGAGTGAATTTCGTTAGAATTCCGGCTTAAACTGAAAATAAAAATGTAAAAATATATACTTGTGAGTTTGCGGTTAGCTGTGATTTAGCAGTAGGCGGAGGGTTGTGGGATCGATTCCGGACTTAATAGTACAGTAAACATTAATAGTATACATGCATAAAATAAAGAAATAAAGTTTAAAATAATCTTTACTTATTTCCATCATTATCGTGACATCCAGGCCGGTAGATCTGCCACATCTGTGTGTACTACTACGTGTACTAGTGTGTACTAACGTGTACTAGTGTGTACTGTTGAGTCTTTCACGCCTGCCGCTTGGTTTGTGTCGCAACTGCAACATTTGCCCTTAAACTGCGTCCATTCATCCACGGCCTGAGTCGTTAATAACAGCAGTTAACCGACCGTCTGTGCGGTGACTGCTGAGGCCGCTAAACGACCAAAGACTAACCGACTGGACAGGATAAGAACACGGTCCGTTCTGACACTTCAGTTTGATCTACAGTGAGCAGCAGCACACAGCTCTGCACTGTTTCTCATCTTTACTGCAACAAACAAAAACTCTGTTCTGTAGGAACGACTACAATTAGACCAAAAACAACCAGGACTGAAACATTATCCCTCATCCTTGAACCGCCACAAATGTTAGCCAAAAATAACACAAAGATTAGATTAGATAGAAAAATACCTCACTACTGTCAATGTGAGCCAGAACCTGACAAAATGAAAATTAACCAGAAGAAATGTCGAATGAAAAAATATATCCGAGAAAAGCCTAAAAAAATCTACCAAAAAAGTCAGATTCATATTCTATTATTGTTGTTGTTTTTCTCGTCTTTTTCCACTTTTTTAAAATCTATTTATTTTATTTATCATTTTTCAAATAATTTCGAACAAATGACTCTATTCTAGTCTGTTCTACTGTAGATATTGTAGAAATATATATATTTTTTTAGTCCTAATAAAACTTTTTATTCTGCGCGATAGTACAACGTCTGACTGAACTGGTCGAAATAGTTCGTCAAAACTTTGTAGTTTAATCTAAGGACATTAACAACAGTCGATTCACTGTCTGTTCCTTTGTTTATATTCGAACATGTGAAATATATTTAAAAATAAAAACATGGGTTTTTTTTTCCTTCACAGGCGAATGTTCCCCAGCTTCAAAGTGAAGGTGACGGGACTCAACCCGAAAACCAAGTACATCCTGTTGATGGACGTGGTACCTGCTGACGATCATCGATACAAATTCGCGGATAACAAATGGTAGGTCGTACAGCGATGAACAATATTGTATGTGTGTGTGTGTGTGTGTGTGATTGTCAATTTAAGAGTGTGGTTTTTCTGACTGTCCTCTCACCACAAAGTCTAATGATGTCGGTAAAGAAAAGTGAACCAAAAGAAAAGAAAACCGGAAAAATAATGGAATGATATGAACTAGTGAGGTTAAAAATAACTTAAAAAGTGACAGGAATCATTTAGAAAAAGATTAAAATTGGTCATAAATTCATTACAATTATAAATTAATTACAGAGAATTAAAAAAAATCTGAGATATTATTAAAGGAACAAAAGATTCCTCTGACTTTGTTTGGGTCAGTGACTTCCAAAGAGGGGAAATAATTAAAGAGGATAATGACCTGCCGATAGCACTGACCGCTGACCGACCACGTGACGGGAGGTCAACACTCAGACCGATCTGTTCAACAGATGAAAGGATTAAAAAAAAAACAATAAATACATGATTAAATACATAATAATATATAAAGTATTACTGCGGATTTTTAATATAAATTAAATTATGTTGTTGTTATTAACTATTAAAACCAATAACTACAAAATAAAAATCAATGGAAATGATTTTATCGATTAAAAAAGTTAAATGAAAGCTTTAAATCCGACTACGCGAAATAATTCATTTGAAAATCTGAAACATTTTAAGTTTTTGTTCGGTTAATTTTTCAAACATTCTGCAGTGAATTGTGTTCAATCGTATACTATTTAATAATAATTAAGTTCCAATAATAAAACGATAATCAATAGGTTAAAAATCAGGTAAAAAAAAAACCGACAATATATGACCATGTGTGTGTGTGTGTGTATATGTGTGTGTGTGACCCAGGTCTGTGACCGGTAAGGCCGAGCCCGCCATGCCCGGCAGACTGTACGTCCACCCGGACTCTCCGGCCACCGGGGCCCACTGGATGCGGCAGCTGGTCTCCTTCCAGAAGCTCAAACTCACCAACAACCACCTGGACCCGTTCGGACACGTAGGTGCCTGGGCCGCTCTGCCTGTCACTCTGTTCTGTTGCAGCCACGTTTCTGACGTCACTCTGGGCCTGTAATGACGGACCGACACGGTCCAGAGAAGTCAGTAGTCCGGGCTCTGGGAGTTCAGCTACTGAAGGCCCTGAGGTTCACAGTAAGCTGCCAATCAGAAGATAGAACCAAAAAAAAAAATAGATACTTTTTTTGTGTGACGTTTTTGGTGTTAAATGTAGACATTATTTACCATAAAAATATTTAGTATTTTCATAAATATTTTCATGAGTATTTTTATAAATATTTTCTAAAGTACAGTATTGTATATATTAATTGTAAGTGGGAGTCAGTCAAAGTGTCACAGAGTCAGAGTGGAATTCTTAGATTATCATAACAAGGAACTAATTCAAATTCAGCTTCTGATTCTGTTTCACTTTAGTTTGAGTGGAATTAATCAATGAGGAGTTACAGCCAGAGTTAAATATGTTGTAACAGTCTGAACTTTACTGCAACAAAAATCAAAATGTTTTTTAATCAACATTATCAAGATCCAAACAAAACCAGTTGCGTTGACATTGTTTATTAAAATTCCCGATATTTTTTTAGCAAAACAAAAATGCAATAACTGTAATACCTGAAGGTTTACTCATTTATGTATTTGTACTTCCTCAAAAATATATTCTTAGCTACAAACCCGAGATGGAGAGTTGATTCCACAACTTTAACCAATCAAATCAAAGCACAGTGGTTGTTGTTTCCAGACAACAAACAACTCTTAGTTCATCATCAGAACAGGTCCATTATCCGCTGGTTTATATCACTGTGAATAAAATAATCAGACTATGAGCTTATTAAAGAGAAAACACACGGAAGAAAACTTCAAATGAAAGTTTGGGGAAAAAGATAATATATATAGTATTATAAAATATAGTATTATAGTAAAGTTTTTCGTATAGGAACCTTAATATTAACGTAAAGTTATTTGACTACATTTCTTGCTTTTCTAAAATACTTACAGTTTCATAAGTCTTGGCAAATTATTTAGATTTTTTGAAGCTTCTTTGTTGTATTTTGGTCTAACTTTCGCTATTGTGTGGACCTGGTTTTGCAAAAGTTTTACATATTTTTTGCTGCAATAAATAAATCGGCCAAATTCATTTTAAATTTAATATAATAAAAGCTGACAGCTTTAATATTTTAAAAACTACTATTTTCTCACTAGTATCATCTGTGGACCAGCACATCGGTCCAGTTGGTAACTTCTAACAGCTACCTTTTAGCTTTTTATCCTTGAATTAAATTTATAAAGTTCTTTGTGGCTAAAGTCAAGCTAACATTTATCTAAACTGTAGTCCTTTAATGAACACATTCATGACACTGTGGTAACAAACAAGGGCCGGTGGTGTGTTAGTCATGGAAGCCTGTAAGGAACAGTTCTAAACTGGGCTCAAAGACAATTTCAAAACCATTGACCCTGAGCTGCAGCTAACTCCACATCCTGATATTGCTTTAGTGCTAACGCTTGTGTGACACTCCATAAAGTTGAGTCTGAGTCTAAAAAAATGCCCCGTCTTCCCGTAAGAACCGACCACAAACACATTCACTACTGCAAACACTTCAGTGTTTTCAGACTGTTAGCAGCGCCTATAGCTCTTGGGCTAAAAGGCACTCGTGAGTCGTGATTGGTTGCATTAGTTCCTGGCTCGCACTCTTTCGTGCTGGGAGAGGGAGCAGCATGGGATTCATAAATGAAAAGCTGGAGGCTGGCCAGAAATCCACCCTGTGCTTCAGCTTGTTGGTCCAGCTGGTGGAAATAACTCTGGGATGATTTATAATTATACAAGGAGTGAGACATAGGAAGAAAACAAATTGCTGATGTAGTGGATTGGAACGGCTCAGGACTGGACCCTGAAACAGACGCTGTTTCTGCACAAATGTCTGGTGATTGGACACAGGAGCGGGGTCTCAGCTCGGCACACTGACCGAGGCTGAGAGGAAACGAGGCCAGGGCAGGGCTGGGCAAACTGTGGGCCTCAATGGGTTCTTAAATCTGACAGGAGGAGCGAAGGGGGGAAATATGGTTTAATGATAATTTGGACAAGTACGATGGATTAAAAATCCTAACGTGCCATGTCCGGCCCCTGACCCAAAGTTTGGGCTACAGTGTTCAAGTACAGCAGCGAGTGGAGAAAAGAAATCCTGCTGAGTCATTTATATTAAAAGGCAAAAAAAATGTCAAGTTTAAACAAGTTTAAGCTCCAGTATAAACAAACATTATATCGTCCACACGAGGACTATTTTTACACACTGGTGTTTTTAGCTTGTGCAAATGTTTACCTTCCAACAGTGGAATAGTCTGAGGATAATAGCTAGTTTGGAGTTCAATGACAATAGCTAAATACCAGGCAAAATATAACTAAAAGTTAGCCCAGGAATGGTAAAAACATTAGCAATAGCAAAGCTAAACGCTAGTTGTTGCATAAAAATGTGTTCAAATTTTAAAAAAGTATATTTACGTAAGGTTCAACAGAGACAGAGCTAAAGGTTAGCTGAGATGACAGCTTAAAGTTAAAGAAAGTAAAACCTGAACAACTTAAAGATTGTCAGAAATCATTAGCTAAATACATTTTGTCCGTACAGAGCAAAAAGTTTGCCTAGCCTAGAATGTATTTCCATATATGTACATATATACATATATATTTAAAGTATATTTAGCAACATTAGAATTTATGATTTAATGAAACTGTTTTCCGTCAACAACACAGTTCATTGTTGGTGTTGATCAGTTATTGTCTCAGGTTTCTGCTTTGATCTGCGTCTCCTCTCTGGAAAAATATCCCTGGCTGTTATTCATCTCCCACCTCCCCCTGCTCCTTCATCTGCTCCTGCGCTCGTCTCCCTCTCTTCCCACACATGTTTGGATCAGGAGGGTGGAGTGTGAGGATCGCACTGTTTATATTCAACTGGCAGTGTGTGATGAGCAATAGATGATGGTGTACAAAGCCCGCTAATCCCAAGGCTCGGGAAAACTCTCTGATGTGGGAGAAGTTGAAAGCGGAGGGCAGCAGAAGGAGACCCCGAGTGATCCCTCACTATCATTAAACACTATCATCCAGAGGCTGGGAGAGAGGGAGGGAGGGAGGGGGGGAGATGGGCAGGGGGTCCAAAGATACAGAGACACAGGCAGGAGACCAGGCGTGTGCTGAGGGGGGGGGGGGGGGGGCCCAGTGGGTGGTCTGAGTCTGCACCACTGCCCCCAGAGCCCTCTACTATAACCACACACACATACTAGACTTTGGGAACCCACAGTCACTGGACCATGGGTGCTGTGAAAAATGTTCTCTCAAAAATTTCCACGCAACTTCGGCCGAGTCGCAGATCGGACGCTTCTGGGAATGAACATTTGTTATTCCCGGCACTTGTTGTTGTTGTGGTTTGGACAACAATGCTGAACCAGAGTCAGCAGAGACGGGCTGAACGCACAGAAGAATGTTTGATGATCAAGGTCTCCGCACTACATGGTCACATGGTTCACATAAATGCATCCCAGTCCTTATGGATTTGATCAATTCAATGTGGTCTAAAGATTAAATTAGAAGAAAATTAGAAGTAAATCCGAAAAAGTTTGAATTTAAACACCATAGCTACGATGACAGAAGATGGACAGAAAGAAATTAGTCCTGAAACATTTTTCAACAGGTACATTTAGCCATTGGACGACTATATTTACCCAAAGGATATAGAGCTAAAGCTTAGCCAAAATGTAGCAATATTTGATTTTTTTAAAAACAAGGCTAAAGATAGTCAAAATATAAAAGCTCTGGACAGTCAAAAGAAATTAAACTAAAAAGAATTACCCGGGAGGTGAGGGGGTCATCGCAGTTGTTATTTGTTAATATTCAGTTAGATGAGTTTGAACACATACTGTATGGGTTTAAAGCTAAACTTCACTTTATTTATTTTTTTGGTTTTTTTTTGTCACAGTTAAAGTTTGGGGAAATATTTAACAGACTCATTTAAAAACTCCTGTTTGATCCATTTGTGGGTCCCTGACCCAGAGCTTGGAAATGATTTTTTTTCTGATACGATTAATACAGTGACCTTTGCTCCACACGGTCAGGGATTTCCTGTTCAATTCATCTTGGATTGACACAGAGCCTGGACAGGCAGGTGGACCAGGGTTTTAGCAACACGAGAGTCGATGAAGTCGAACGTAAACGAATAACGAATGTCTTTTAAATGGTCTGTATGGACCGTGGTCCACTCAGGTCCACTGTGGGCCTTCAGGGTTATAGGTAATGGGTCTGGGGGATTCCTTGTGTCTCTTCTCAGGCTGAAAACAAACACTGTGATAAGTGATAAGAGGAAAAGAAAGATTTCTGAGGAGGGAGGGAGAGAGGGGGGAGTCAGAGAGAGAAGGAGAAGAGGAGAGGAGCAGCTTTGTTGAACAGTGAGTCTGGTCAAAAAAATGTAAGAAAACACACGTTTCCCCCCGTGGTTGACAACAGTGACCTGTGCTGTCAGAACGACTAGACCCCAGACCCACGGATGAGAGGCTCCGAGAGGAGAAGCTCAGGCTCAAGTTCATCTGTGTGGACGGGACGGGACGAGTCTCCGCGTCGCCACAGGCAGGAGTCATCACTTAGCACAGATTAGATTAGTCTGAGGCAACCGGGAAGGAGACCAGATTATATCTACATGTATTTATCATCTATCCATCTGTCTATATAGACATATATAATATATATGAATATATACATATATTTATATATGCATAATTATTTTATATATGTCCTGCCTGTCATGCAAATGATCCCAGATCTTGAGAAATAATTTATTATTGTAATATAATACGTGTATTGTCTTTGCACCATTGATTTGTTGGGTTTGAAATGTACACACACATACACACACATATATATATACATATATACATATATATAAATGTTACTTTTTTTGCCTGAAACTGACATTTTACACAAAGTTACAAAAACAATTACATTTACTTCAGTCAGTGGGTGATGTGACGTCAGGTCTGACGTCAGGTGTTGTTTTTTTTCTATCCCGGTTTTGTTATTGAGTAAAGTTTTACAAACTGTTCACTTTAACGTTTAAGGTGATAAAAAATACTCACTAAACTCTTATAAGTAAAGACAGAATTTTCACAAATTTATTTTCTTTACATCGAAATACAACATATTTCTAATGTAATTCTTCACCATATTTTATTATAATTTGAATTTCTGAAAGTTAAAAAGTTAACACTGTAGAATATTAGCAAGAGCTCAAAACAACAACAACAACATGTTTGTTTGTTTGTTTGTTTGAGGACTTTCTTCGGTCTAAACATCGTCTCTACTTTTCTTTCCATTCTCTTCAGATCATCTTGAATTCCATGCACAAGTACCAGCCTCGGATCCACATCGTGAAGGCGGATGAAAACAACGGCTTCGGCTCCAAGAACACGGCCTTCTGTACCCACGTCTTCACGGAGACCGCCTTCATCGCTGTCACGTCCTACCAGAACCACAAGGTAAAACCCCGGACCGGGAGCCTCCTCTTTAAACTCTCAAACTCCGCTGCACTGTCTCTCTCTCTGTGTGTGTGTGTGTGTGTGTGTTGAACTGTAAAGATGAAAACTTTTCTGGAACTTTTATAAAGGATTTGTCGTTATATGATTGAGATGCGGAAAACATTACAAGATAATAATAATAATAATAATAATAACAGGACAAATTAAAGTTATAGCGAGCCTAGAAAAACGAAAATAAAAATCATTTTACCTTACGCAAGCAACTAAAATGTTTATCAGGAAATTATTTAAATATTTCTTTAAATATATCTCTTTTTCTTTAACTCTGAATAAAGTTATTTATTGCGATTTATTTGACTCATTCGTTGAGATGATCTAGTTAAAAGCTGGGTTTGTGTTTACTGATATTAAAGACAAGTTCAATTATTAAAAAAAATCTACAGTTTGCTGCGTCGGTTCTTTGCACGAAATATATTAAAATATAAACGGGTTTAACATAAAATATATATCATATCTTTTTACACGATAAATGGGAATAATCACGTTACACTGCGTATTCTTCTACCATTTATGAATGTGTTTTTATTATACAGATATATTTACTTGAAAGCTTCCCTAAAAATCACTATAAAAATAAAAATAATAGCAATAATAATGTGTGACTTACAGGGACATTTGATTTCCAACAGCAATTTTACGGTGAAAATGTACATTTCTGAAAATGTGGTTTTCTTACATTCACTCTCTTTTTCAAGTCATCAGAAGTTTAACTATCAGTGTTTCACATTTCCTTGTCTGTTTTTTTAATTATTTCATTCAATACAATTAATCAAACCTGGCTCTAAAAAGTAATGAATATTTTTTTATTCAATTATTGAATATTGTGAAAATATCGAATTTTAGATTACAATCGTGAGTAAAATATCGCGAAATATTCCGGAGATACTACTCCATGTTTATCTTTGAGATGACTAAACAGTAGTTTATTAAAATAATGATAATAAATATCGTTAAAGGGACAGAAATAACTGACTTTGACCAATGTGATATCGAGTACATTTATATTTTAATGACATCGATGTCTTTAAAACGAATACGGTTTTCAAAAACACCGAATGGAGGTTCAAGGTAAGTTGACGTAACGGGGAAAAGCAGCCGATATTAAAGCGGTATTTACTCAGTACACACACACACACACACACACACACACACACACACACTTGCAGATCTATGTGTAAACAGCGTCTGTTTAACGTCATTTTGGAGGGTTTCGTGTTTGGTGTTGGGGGGGGGGGGGGGTGGAGAGAAAAGGGGGCGAAAGCTCATAATGTCCCCTCAGCCAATCACAGGCCGCTGCGCTTCTGGGAACAGGAAGCACAAATGAGCGTCGGTCTGGAGAAAGAGTTCATTATTTTCGGACACGTTACTGGAGGCCGGGATCATAAACCCGGGCTAATTATTGTAGCTGCGCAGAAGAAGAAGAAAAAACAAAAAAAACCCGCCATCGTTTCTGATTTGTGGGCGTTTGAACACAACTGTTGAGTTCAAGAGCCTGGCGCGTGTGCAGGAGAGTGCGGTGCTGCAGTTCACCTGCTCATGAAAACACCGCAGCTCGTAATTAAAAACTCTTTTCACCAGGAACTGTTTTTCTTTCTTTTTTTTTTTTAATGAACTTCCTGTCCCGACAGCTCATCAACTCGGAGGTTTATGTGCAGTGAAAATCTGAAAATATCTGTCGACCTCAGGATATTTTAATGAGCAGAGTTTGGACGAGGAATAAAAAAAAACAATGAAGTGATGCCTGGGTTGAACTCACATTATATGTTTTATAGCTGATAAATCCGTCTATTTTCACCCACTTTGGACCAGAGGAGGCAGGAGATCACACACACACACACACACACACACACACACACGTGTGTGTTCTATAAAAACTGTAATTTTCTCTTGTAGTTGAGAAGCCAGGATAAACACGTAAGTGTTTGTCTTCCTGTCTTTGTCAGCAGGTCCTGAACAGTGAACCTCAGACGTGGGTTTGATCATGGCCACTGTTGTTGCCCACATGTGGTGATAATTGCCCTCAACACTAGGATCAGGGCAAGTTCCCCCTGAAACCAGAGGGAAACCCACGTGTCTCTGTCAAAGAGACAGACTTTTCTAGATCAATATTTGAAGCTGGACTTGTTTCATCACCATCACATCCATTTTAGATCAATATTTGAAGCTGGACTTGTTACATCACCATCACATACATTTTTTTTCTCTCAGATTTTCTTCTGTCAGTGTCAGAGTCTGAATGACCTTTGACCTGTTGTTCTGAAACATTGACAGATTATCTTTGAATGAAAACAGTAAAGGGATATGACTGGATTCTTTTTGGGATGAAGTTTAAATTAGTAAAACTGAAGTACTTTTTTTTTTACTGTGTCCCACTGCCATCACCGGTCCCCGGACCAGGGGTTGAGGACCCTTGACATAGAGTACTGCATTTAGCAGAGGCTGTAAAAGTTTGAACGTCTCGGTCTCTTAGGTGTTGTCACTGTTTATGTGAAAAAAAAAAAACCATCTGGATTTCTGTGTAATTTTCATGTTTCTCTTCAACCACAGGTTATATTAATGGTTTGCATGTTTTTTGTTTTTACTATTTTTTCTAATTTCTACTTAAAGCATTTTCTGGAGACAATAATCAAATCTGAATCTTCGGCTCATCATTGAGATGTTAGTCTTTAAACAGGTGTGTGTGTGTGTGTTCTGTCGGCAGATAACCCAGCTGAAGATCGAGAACAACCCGTTTGCTAAAGGTTTTCGCGGAAGTGACGACATGGAGCTGCACAGGATGTCCAGGATGCAAAGGTACGACGAAAGTAGAGTGATCCATTAGAACTGGACCCAGCTGAAGATCGAGAACAACCCGTTTGCTAAAGGTTTTCGCGGAAGTGACGACATGGAGCTGCACAGGATGTCCAGGATGCAAAGGTACGACGAAAGTAGAGTGATCTATTAGAACTGGTAACTGATCCATGCCATGTGTGTGTGTGTGTCACTGATGTCAGGGTAGACCCTGATCCTGTGTAGACCCTGGTCCAGTGTAGACCCTGGTCCAGTGTAGACCCTGGTCCAGTGTAGACCCTGGTCCAGTGTAGACCCTGGTCCAGTGTAGACCCTGGTCCAGTGTAGACCCTGGTCCAGTGTAGACCCTGGTCCAGTGTAGACCCTGGTCCAGTGTAGACCCTGGTCTTGGACCAGTCTGAAGTCAGAACACCAATGAAAGAAGCTCTGAACTCTGAACACAGCTTTGTGTGTGTGTGTGCTGTAATGATGTTGTTGATTGTGTTCAAAAAAATCACAACGCATTCTCTCTCCCTCTCTCTCTTTTTTCTCTTTCTTTTCTCCCTCTCTCTCTCCCTCTCTTTCTTTCTCCCTCTCTCTCCCTCTCTTTCTTTCTCCCTCTCTTTCTTTCTGCCTCTCTCTTTTTTCTCTCTTTCTTTTCTTCCTCCCTCTCTCTCTCCCTTTCTCTCTCTCTCCCTCCCTCTCTTTTTTCTCTTTCTTTCTCCCTCTCCCTCTCTCTCCCTCTCTTTCTTTCTCCCTCCCCCTCTCTCTCTCTCTTTCTTTTCTCCCTTCCTCTCTCTCTCTCTCTCTTTCTTTTCTCCCTTCCTCTCTCTCTCTCTCTCTCTTCCCCCTCTGTGATTTGGTCCAGATGAGCGATGGAGCCCATTCTACGTACATAACACTTTTTCAAAGGATAAAATCTGGTTTCTAAACATGCAGCCCACCCAGCCAACCCCCTCTGGTCAATCAGAGCAGACACAGCGCGGACTAATCCCATGTCAAACGTATCTTTTCGAAATTAAAAAAAAAAAAAAACGACCTCAGTTTATTTATGAAGTGTTAAACTTCTGTCATCTCCCATGTGAACCACACAAAGTATTTGGTTATACTACATTAAATATTTGATCCAGGCCTTAAAAAAAAAAACATCTTATGGAACGACAGAAGGTGAAACATGTGCCTGACATGACAGTCAGGTCCAAGTCTGTGGTTGGTTCCAGCAGCAGCCACTGGTACTACAGCCTGTAAATACTTTTCTACTACGACTCCAATAAAATACACACAACTTTAATATCAATCAATTTGGACAGAAAAAAAAGAAAACTTTTCAAATACTCTCTCCAACCAAATACACATACATCACAATACTCCCGAGTACAACACAATCCAGTGATCCAATATTCTACAACAACTGTTTAGTGTCGATACTTGTACATGTATGCAGATATGCATGTATATGTATAGGTATGTATATATAAAAATGTATGTACATACATATACAGTATAAACATACATATATGTATATAATTAAAAATGTATGTACATATACTGTATATATATACATATATACATACTGTATATACAGTATATACATACATATATGTACATATATAATTATATTCAGCGTAATTGCATTATTGGTGTAAAAGCTCTGCTCACTTTCTGTTCAGATGACTGTGTCAAATTAAATTACTTTCTGCTTAGTTGTAAATTGATATATCTATATTTATGTGATGACAGCGTCAGTTTATTTATTTAGTACAAAAAAATGAAATAGTCTGTTTTTAGTCAATGAGTAGAACATGTAATAGAGAGTAAACAATTTAGTGGTCGGCGTTCTCTCTGTGATGTCATTTCCCACAGAGCTGGACCAACTTTACAACGCTGCCTTTAAGTTCAAATAATTATAATTGTGGTACTCCGTATCAGCAAGTACATGAATGAAAATACTAGTATTGAAGTTTCATTAACATTGTTCTAAATTCTACTATTATTTACAATGGTTAAATATCTCCAACCTGATTGGTGGAAGGTCAAAGATCTGTACTTCTACTCCGACGTCCCTGTGATCCTGAGCTTTATTTTTCAAAGATCTGTACTTCTACTCCGACGTTCCTGAGCTTTATTTCAGGAACCGTTGTCAAAGCTCGACCTCAAATTCCGAGGTTTTCTGACTTTGTTACAGTTTCAAACCGACACGTTCAGTTTCTTCAAGTAGGTGCGTGCCGTGAGATAATATGACACTCTAACTGGAGAGAGTTTTACCTACGACACCACTCAAATATACAGAGGTTGGTGAGAGTCCAGACCACACCATCACTCCTCACAGCTCCTGCCAACTGCAGTTACAGTGAAGCAGGGAGGCCTACAGCGAAACCAGATCACTGTTTGACCCAGCTGAAATCAAAGACCTGAAAGTTGCAAAATGATCTATGGGAGGATCGTGAGAGTGTGTGTGTGTGTGTGTGTTCTGAATATGCATGAGTCATTCTTGGGTCATGAAAAGTAATAATAATAAAAAGTATCATCACTGTGGCTGGATTTAAAATGTGAAAACAAACTCGTATCAGCGGCCTAAAAGTATGGTATTCTGAGAGGAAATGATTGTACACACACACACACCTGAGTCACAGTATGAAGCAGTTCAGGACAATGTGCTCCGATAACACACTGTCAAAAACGGTGCATATTATAACAACGTTTACCTTCAGATCGTGGGATTTGCTTGGAAATATTATCTTTATTTTTCCTCAGCCTGAGCTGCACTGCACATTGATTGGCTGCTGAGAAACGTGTGTGTGAACGTCGTCCTTATGCTGCTGTGCTAATTGCTAAACAAACATCAAATGCAGACCCACTGATCCACATGCTTGTTTCCATGTCCGTCCGCCTGCAGTACCAAGGAGTATCCAGTAGTGCCGCGCAGCACAGTGAGACAGAGGGTGGGCTCCAGCCAGAGTCCGTTCAGTGGGGAGGTGCAGGGCCTGGGCACCCAGAGCACTCTGACCCCCCAGTACCCTCAGTGTGAGAATGGGGTCAGCAGTACCTCACAGGACATGCTGCCCCAGTCGGGCTCCTACCCAGTACCCCATGAGCACGCTCAGGATTATCACTGCATCAAGAGGAAAGGTAAGAGACGCCGTCGTCCGTGACCGTGAGTGTGAATCTACGACCACTTTACCCGGCGTTTTAACCGCTAAATAAAATACTGATTCTGTTGTCATGGTGATGACTCGGACTCAGGAATAACACCGCGCTGCATCACAGCCAATGGGGTTGCAGGACTAAATCCAGGTTGAACCAAACCGTGACCTAAATCCGTCAACAACAAACTGACATTATATCCCACTGTAACCCAGTTATCAAAACCAGCTCAGTCTACACTGGAACAATGCTGTGTTTTTGGTGACCCCTGTTGGATTATGTAGGAACCAGTACTACTGTACATTAAGAGATACATTACTATGAAGTAATTAATCACATTTCAAGACGGAAAAAAAATCTAGACACACTAAGTAACACTAAGGCATTCACACCAGGCCAGTAGGTGGCAGTAATATATTTATAGTTATATTGTCAGCCATAAAGAAGATGCACAGGCTGCAGAAAAACAATGCTGATAAAAGACGAGATAATTGTCATTATTTAAAAAATCCCAATTAGATCAAATCAAATAATCAGGATTAATTAATAACGAAGCCTCCAATTAATGTGTAATTATTTAACCGTGTCCCAACATTACTATGAGCTCGAATGACACTCTTCTTTCACCGCTCACCTTCTGCCCCCAGTGGAGGACGACTGTCACTCCGGTGACCCCAGCTACAAGAAAACCTACCTGGAGAGTTCGTCCAGTGAGGACGACCATTACTACCGTCCTGTCCCTTATGCCCAGAGCCTCGGTTTGACCGCTGGGCCTTACCGCACTGAGACCAACCAGAGACAAGCCTGCATGTACGCCAGCGCACCACAAGGCGCCGAGTCGGTTCCCACCCTGGAGGACATCAGCTGCAACACCTGGGCCGGCGTGTCCCCGTACGGGACTTGTTCCGTCCCCGCCATGCAGCCAATGGAGAGGCTGCCCTACCAGCACTTCTCCGCTCACTTCACCTCAGGGTCTCTGGTCTCCAGACTCGGTGGGGTGGGGGGCCACGCCTCACCACAGCTGGGTGACGGCCATCACGCAGCCATGTACCAGAACCCAATGAGCCATCAGGGCCTGGGCCGACAGTGCAGCCCGGGAGCGGGGATCCAGTCGCCGACAGGCAGCCTACAGGGAAACGAGTACCTCTACACGCACGGTATCCCACGCACATTATCACCGCACCAGTACCACGCCGTGCACAGTGTTAGCCTCATGCCGGAGTGGAACGAGAACAGCTAGACCTTTAACGATTATTCTCATACAAATGAAATTGGAAAAGGTGACTGAACTGAACTTCTAGTCCGAACATCTGCACTTAAAAAAAAAACAAACAAAAGACTAAACAAAGACAAGTTGGACCAGAACGAACACTGAAAACTCTTCAAAAGTGCAAAAAAAGTACCAGTGCCTTTGGTACCAGTTCTGGTGGACCATGTCATGGTGAGGTGGAGGTCGACAAGGGAAGATGATATTTTTACGGTATGCTAGTCTTCTTTTCTATCTGTCTCCCAACTTCATGTAAAAATGGACGAGGACGTTAAATACAGTATTTGCAGTAGTCGATATCTTTGTAATTTACAGTGTACTTTGTGTTTTATTTTTTGTTTTTGTTTTTGGAACCCACATGAGCCTGAATGAACGGAGGCCTAAGTTGTGGCTCTTGTTGTATAGTTTGTTCTTCGTAGCTGTTGTGTGTTCTTTTATTATTGATGAAACAAAAACCAACAAGACAAAAGTCCGAACAATCTTCTGGTAGACATCAACGCTCATAACTCAGTGGAAGGAAGACATAATACATCCGTCAGGTGTAATCTAGGACATGTCAGTACTGAAGAACAGATTACCGTATTTTCCGGACTATAAATTCTGTACTATACTCTGGAGTATAGATCGCACCAGTGCCCTCTAGCAGCTGTCAGTGTGAAAATAACAAACGTGAAATGATATATTTTGATATATCAGTCACACCTGAGTATAAGTCGTAAACCCAACCAAAGGATGAAAGAAAGTGCGACTTATAGTCCGAAAAATATGGTATTTATTGCATTATCCATAATTAAAGAAGTGGATATTTTTGGTCTGTAGTTTGTCAGTACAGTCTTAATTACAAACACAAAGGCATAAATTCATAGACCCTAGTATTAAAAGACCAATGTTTACAAAAGAAGTTATTGATGAAAAAAAATTACTTAATTTCAGTAAATTTGTCAAATTCCTGATCTGTCATATTTTTCGAGGTTTTTTATCCATTTTGTCAAATTCCTGATCTGTCATATTTGTCCGACAGAATTCTTTTCGTGGTTTTTTATCCACTGGTTTGAGACATTGAACGTTCCACCATCAGACCACCAACCTTTTTTGTTTAATCCAGTCTGCTGTTTAGTGACACTCCTGCCAAAATTGCTCCGACAACTTACCAAACAAAAACAAAAAAACAGAGCCATAAAAATGTTTATTTTAGAGGATTGTTCTTCACGTGGACAAAGGCCGACCTGGAAGGACCACGATGATAGAATGTTGTCAATAGTATTTATTTTTCCAGAGTGTAAAATCTTCCTGTGTTTGTATTCATCAATGACAGGATGGCCATTTTCTTTCATATATATATATATATTTTAGTAATGTTTACTGGGTCTTTTTTTATTATACACATGTAGGAAACAGGAGCAGCAGACAGCTGTGTAAGCTAACCATCGACTTCAAACAGAACTCTGTAAATATATATGTACAGTACGTAACAGAATACTGCCAATAAAGTGTAGAACGTCAATACAACATGGTCTTTGTTTATCGTGTCGGCAGATCTCTATATATATGTATATATATATTTACATATATACATATATATAAGTTTATATGTGTATATATATGTATGTATACATAATAATATATAAATATATATACAGTACATATATAATGTATATATATAGGTATATATGTGTATATATATATTTATGTATACATATAAAATATAAATATATATACAGTACATATATAATGTATATATATGGTGTATATATATAAATATATGTATATACTTGATTCTTTACAAATACACAGGTTCATATAATAATGTTTTTTATTTTAAATGTACAAAATATAAAAATAATGTTCGTGTCAAACCCACCCTCCACTATCAGGGGTCATCAAGTGGTCAAGATGATAAGGCTTTCTGATGTAGTGACCCAGGATCAGACCTGCTCACACAGGTGCAGCAAACCTCTACAGTCGTGCTCAAAAAAAAAATATCACAAATCAAAATTCACATCCTCCGACCAGCAGCTCCGTCTGAGTCAGTCTAAAAACCAGGTTTAACGACAAACTCTTCTGACTAACTCTACGCTCTACGCTAACCTTCAGCCAGAGTTGTCAGGATTGATGATCCGCCCCAGCTCACTTCTGCCTTCGTTCCTTCTACTGTTGCCCCAGACGTCGCCATGACCTCCATCACTACATCCATGAATCTTCTCTGGAGTTTGTTCCAGCTGCTCCTTCTCTAATCCAGGTTAACCAGGTCACCTGAACCCTGGTCCAGATTCAGGTTCAGGGGCCACATACAACTGGTGGGCCGGAACCAGTACAATCATAACATTATCACCTATAAATATTAACCTATAGTCTTTTCCCCCCATTGTTTTCACATTAGATAAATCTTCATATTTGACAAAATATAATTTTACAAAACATTTTGTGAACATGAAGTGACCGTGAATTATTTTATTTTCAAAATCCATCAAGGGGCCAGGACTGAAATCCCAAGCGGGCCCCCGTATGTTTAACACCCCATGCACCAGGAGACCAGGGGTGTTAAACATACGGCCCAGGGACCAAAACTGGCCCGCTCGACAGTTCAATCGGGGCCACTTGATGAATTTTGAAAATACACAAAAAAACATACACAAAGGATTTAGGTTGAGATCATGTTTTTTTTTTTGGTAAAATTATATTTCTTTGAAAATAAGATCATGTTTTTTTTTTTGGTAAAATTACATTTCTTTGAAAATAATAATAAATATTATATTAATAAATAAATATTAATCAATTATAATAAATATCCAATATACTATCTATATATCTATACTATACACTATCCAATAACCACTTTCCATCTTAAAGCGCCAATTGCCCATTCGTTAACATCGTACGTTGACTTTGGTTGCTAGAAATTTCTCTGGTCTCATTTCCATTTGTCTCTTCACGATCATGTTCCCTGCCCCCCCCCCCTCAATTAACCCTTTCCTAGTCTCTGCATCTTTCTCTCTCCCTCTCTCTCTCTCTCTCTCTACCACCCCGTGGCCAAACACCCTGACCCGGACTCCCCAGCCTGCTTTGATGTGAGTGATGTGACCCCGATGCCCCAACACCGCCAGTCTTATCCTCTCCGAAGAGCCGGGCCCGGCCCACAGAGAGAGCCGGTCATTAACCCCGTACAACCCGAGCCTCCCCGTCCACTGCTTAAACACATGATGTATCACAACACCCGCCCCCGAGCTTCTCCCTCAGATTCACCCAAACATGCATGCGTGGGCGAGGACGGATGATGCAACAGGCTCTTTAAACATTTAAAGAACAGGTCAGCGTTTCAAAGGGAAGAGACGGAACCTTTGGCCACAGCTCTAGTTATCATGGTCAGCGGTTGAACGTCTGGTGATATGTCAGAGGGAAAACTAATGAAAGTCTAATGAAAGGAAAGTCCAGATGACAGATGGAGCCTCACACAGGTACACGGTGGGTTTATTTGGAGTACGCCTGTATATCTCTGTCACTGCGATAACGTCAATAAGTCGACTTTTAATGAGGAGAAACAAAGAAAACACCACTTTATTTATTTGAACTTTGCGACAAACCCGCGTAGGGAATCTTTTGTGACTTTCTTTTTTTTTTTGTAACAGCTGAGAGAAAATGAAAACAAGTCATCGCAGAGTAACGATGAGTCATGATCTCAGTTCAACCCCCAAATGTGAAACCTAAACAACTCGTACTCTGGGTGCCCCTCGTGACAAAGAAGAAGGGAAGAAGAACAAGAGCATTCCTAAGGCTGGAAAAAAAAGGTGGGGGGGGGCGGCGGCGTTGGGGGGATTACTTTATTAAGACGTACTGAAACAGGGATCACTGCAGATGGATGACGCTTCGCCGAAAAAGGGGTTTTCGGACAATCAAATCCATCTACTGCCAGAGTCGCAAACATCTGTTTGCAAAGTCAAAGTGATGCAACCTTAGGTCTTTAGGTCTTTCATGAGAGACCTGGAGTCCCCCCCCCCGTCATCCCCCTTTTTAGAAATCCCTTAGATAACAGGCTAAGACATCAATGTCATAGCTTAAAAAGACAAAGCGAGGAAGGGGGACAAAGGGGTGAACGCTCCGCGTGACCACAGGTCTGTGATTCCCCGTGCAAATCTAATTAGGAGGCGCCAAACTTATCCTCAATCAACAGAACATCTGGTCCGCCCCCACAGGGAGGCAAATACTAATATTGCTCCGAGTGGAAGTTAAAATAAAGTCTACTACAATTTTCCGAAGACGAATGATTGACGCCTGGAGTGTGGCTCCGTCAGGGACGGCGGTTGGAGTCGGAGTGGAATTAAGGAAGTCCTTCCTTCATCAGATACCACGTTTCGTGCAGTGACTTTGAACACATCGGTGAGGGCGTGCATCACTCTGAAGGAAGACCTCAGAGATCAGCGCAGAACAGATCGTTTTTGCCTCTACACGTTTGGGACAGGAGCGCTGAAATGGGAGCACAGACCTTTCCAGCTCCCACCGCTCAGTCTTTCAGCACCAGGCCTGGGCAGAGTCTGAGGGGAGAGAGAGGGAAGGTGAAGGGGGAGGAGGAGGGACGGAGGATCTTGCAGAGGCCGCAGACGTAGATGGTGAGAACGAGAATTTGTCCTAAAGCTAAGAGAGCGGGAAAGAGACTTGATCACCTGTGATAGAACGTTGAGTGTTCCATCGTAGAACCTCAGAAGGAACAGTTCATAGGAACAGTCTAGTAGGAGTTTATTGTTTACGCTTTTACCCAAAGCAACTCATAGGAGGAGGGTTAGAACGATCAACCACGTGGTTCCTCTAGGAATCAAACCCAGGACTCTCTGCTCTCTGCTTCCAAGACAGGTGCGCTAACCACTACCCACGTTGTTGTTGGATGGTTGACAGTATCTACAGTAGGGATGGTGGTCTTTCTCAGGTTTATGGTCAAATTGTCGCGTTAGCATGTCATTAAACCTACACCAATCAAAGGACCCGGGTGAGAACCAACAACCATACTGCTCTCTTCAGGCAACGTGTCATATTTTTAGACTTAATGTTTTGTTTTTCTGAGCAGAAATGACATTCCGTACTTAGCTTAGCATTACTGGAGTGAAGTGACAGAAGGACATATATATATATACATATACATATATATACATATATATACAAGGACCCAATTTTGTCCTTCCAGATTGGATGTATGACTCATCTTTTTTTTTGCACCAAGTAATTTAAAGTAACATAGTAACTTTTACTCAAAGTAAATTTTAAATTAAGTCGTTTTTTACTTTTACTCAAGTAGATTTTTAGATGGGTACTTTTACTTTCAGTAGAATTTAAGCAAAGTAAAGTAATACTTTTACTTAATTACATTTTGTAGTACTTTTTCCACCTCATTTAGATTTTTGTTAAAATGTTCAGAAATATATGGGAATTAAAAATACAATTTTGAATATTCAGCACAATGACTGCGAGTCCAGATACATGTAGGACGGACTGCACAGAGTCG